ATATACAAAGCGCGGGAAAGCATAATAATAATCGAACGAAAGTATATCTGTAAAGCTGATTTTTAAATTTACATATTATTATATCGTGGCATCGTGCGACATATATTACTACAAATCGTGCTGTACGGTATATTATGTATATTACATTATTAAAAATAAAAATTGTATAAACTATGTCGATTATAAGGTTACATGAAGGAGATACTGGAATGATTCATAATCTAGAAGTTTCCGAAGAGGATGCTATTATCTTCATCATAAATATAAGTAAGCGATTCTAAAAAAAAACTTCACAACGCACGTTAGCATGACTTTCATTTTATCCGTAATTGCAAAATACGTACTAACGCTTCAAAACGCTTCAAAAATTGGTCCATTTGCATACTGTTGGCAGCATTAGTAATGCCAATGGACTGTTCTATAGAAGCATATGAAAGTGAAAACGTTTGAAGCGTTTGTAGCGCCAAGTGGACCGCACCCTAAGTAATGTATCAAATGTGATCGACAAAATGAGAGAGAGGGACCGTGGAAGACGGCCAATCTCCCTCTCATTTTCTCTCCCATTACACTATTGAATGGAAAGAGATAGAAATGGCCGTCTGCACGGTCCCTCTCTCTCATCCCTATCGACCATTTTGATACACGGATCGCGCAGTCCATTCTCTATGGCCTCGTCCCATGTCATTCGACTGTAACAGGGGAATACTTGACTGCAGTTGGTTAGTTCTTACATTCTTACTCGGATCGAACCCTGGATGTAAGCTAGGCCTATGTCTTTGGTCTGCTCTGTCAAAATTTTTGCGCGTTCCGAAAATCATGGAATTAAAAAGTGTTGCAACCTTTTATTGACTGACTATACACAAAATGGCCCCGACAAATTTGTTGGAGCCAGTTGGTGTAATTATCGGGCTTGGTGCTTTCATGAGACGCTGAAAAGCAGCGTGTGTGTGATTACGTGGTATTAATTTTGTCGCTAGTGTCTGATTTCGAATACGGTCCACTTGATGTTTCGAAACTTTTATTTGACCAATCGGAAGAAAGAATTTTACCTGGCCAATCAAAAAATGCTTCGAAGCATTCGTAGCATCGAGTGGACCTTAGCCAGGCATAGCTTTCATTTGAAAATTGATATCCTTGTAGCGTCAATTTTGATTTTATCATGAGTGATTTATGTGCTCATGGAATTTTTGGCATCATCGTTATCAAGTGACGATGACGAATTAATATTTACTACGTTTACACGGCACGCTTTACGCCGAAGTTATAACATCGATGTCATGAAACTGACCAATCACAGTCATTCCATTCTTCAGAGTAACAGCTATAATTGGCCAGTTTCATAACATCGATGTTATAACTTCGGCGTAAAGGTAAATTTTCACGAGCTGCTCTAACCGGCTATTTTAGCGACAAAAAGGATCACGTGATCAAAATGGACATTTAATATTCGTCAATTTTGACCACGTGATTCTTTTTGTCGCTGAAACAGCCGGTTTGAACAGCCCGTGAAAATTTACCTTAAAGCGTGCCGTGTAAACGTAGTAATTGATAGAACATAAAAAAGACCAGAGCGAAAATTAAAAATTACATTGAAGAAGTTGTGCGAAAAATATCCAATGAAACAGTGAGTTTTGCAGGTTAATGAGGTTCACATTTCGTGAATCTCGTGTTCGCCTGACGAAACATACTGCCGCGGTGATAGATATTAACAGTGTACAACGGTCTTGATATGCACCAGTGCACGTTGGTGTTTCCAGCCGAAATCGCTATTACATAGTTCTACAAACTCGGTATCGTTTGTTTCAATAATGTGACCTCAGCTGCACGCTTATTTTCGAGATATGGACTCTAATAGTGTTTTCGATTGGGAAGAAGTTAGTGCGCACTCAGTTCACACCAACACTAGACGAGTTCCATGGGTTGCACTGAATAGTGCAAGTTCAAAAGAACACGCCAAAATTTTCAGTGCTAAAGCTGAAGTGCCATTTCGAGTTGTAAGATTGTAAAAGGACTTGACTAGACTGCAGGAAGAACGCAGAAAATAATTTCGACATCTCATGTTCATAACTTTAAGTAATGATTTTTTAGTATATGTAATTAAATAATATAAGATATCAAGAACATGATATATGTACATACTTATCAATAATAATTGTACACATTTGCATATGTTGCATTTTCAGTTCAACCGCACAGATTTACTTGTCCCTACTGTATATCTTTATACTGTGACAAAACGATGCACTGATATCCTATATATGTATCCAGTGCACTGAACTGTCACCGTTAAAATATCTCGTGCCACTTATTCGGGATCTACAATAGAAGTCGTAGCAATCGTAGGGTCTTAAATCATAGAAAATTGACCAATCATAGTCGATTATTCTTTTCATATTCTACTATGATTGGTTAATTTTCTACGACTTAAGACTCTACGACTGCTACGATTTCTATTGTAGACCCCGCTTTAGTGCACACTGAGTGCGTACTATGGATGTGCGATCTCCATTAATTGTATCGATTTTTGAATCGATTTAAAATCGGATTGATTGAAATCGATCTATTAAAAAATCGGACCTGAATGAATTGATCTATTGAAGATCGATTCAATTAAAATTTTTTTGTGATATATATATATGTATATATATCACGAGAAATGTCAATGGAATGGACATCGAATCGATGACAATTTGATGATTTTTCACTGCGATTGTAGAAATTCAACGAAAACAATTAAAACATGATTCTGATTTGTCTCCGAGTAAAATAATTTTAATTTAAAATAAAAATCTATGGTTCATTCTAACATCTGTAGTTATATGACATAAATCAATTACTAATATAAAATCGGTAAAACATCGTATATAAATTCAATTTGATAACAACTGTCAGTGTCAATTAGTATAAATTAGAATTTAACTAGCATTTATTTATACATTTTGTCAGTAGTAATTACTAGTTGTAACTACGGATATTATTAAACCCGATTAATGTTAACCAGTAATGTGTAAATGCAGGCAATATAGGCACAGTAATGATATTATAACTTTAGATTCTTTGGAACACGACATGTACAATAGAACTAATTTTCAATAAAATAATTAACTATTTTTTATTGTATATATTATAAACCATATTTGTTTAATAGTACAACAAAATCACAATAAAAATTACTATATAAAAACATACGACTTTTTAAGTTTTTAAATGCCTATACTTATAAGAATCAAATCTGATAACGGTTGAACGATGTAAGTACGATACAGAATCTACGATAGTTAAAGATAAAAATAAGGAAATGAAAGAGACCAAGATGAAATGTTACGAACCAACCATCGACATCTAGAATGGATGGCAATGGTGGGGGTAGAAAGACGATTAGAGTAAGAGGCAGG